GCGTCCTGGCCGTGGAAATGGCTCGAGGCCAGTTCCGCACGGCCAGGGCCCAGTGCTCCCGCGGGGCGGCCAGAGGCTGGGCCGCGGGCAGGACGGGCCGTGTGCGGGGCTGTGAGACGGAGGCAAGAGAGACCGCGGCCTCCAACGTTCTATATTAAAAATATCCTTAGTTCTTGTGCACAAAATCCACATCCGAACATCACCCCAACCTCCCTGCGGGGCCCCAGAACAGCCTGGAAAGAGAGACGGCGGCTCCCTCCGCCAGAGCCGGGCACCCGCCGTCGTCACGCACCGCGAGCAGCGCCGCCCTCCGGCCCGCGCCGCTCACTCGTGCCGCCGCTTGGACGGTGGGACCAGGTGTGGCGGCAGGTCGGCGGGCAGCTCGTGGCCCTCCAGCTTGACCTTGATGAGGTGGTTGGCCAGGGCGAACTCCTCGTCGTCCAGCAGCCCGTCCTTGTCCACGTCGGCCAGCTTCCAGATCTTGCCCAGCACCGTGTTGGGCAGCTTGGACTTCACCATCTCCTTCTTGGCGTTGGCGCCCGTGATCTTGCCGTTGACGGGCGACAGTGTGTAGAAGATCTCGTCGTAGGTGGGCTTGTCCTTGCCCACCACCCACTCGACGTCGTCGATGCCCTCGCCGGCCCCCTCGCCGTAGCCGTGGCCGAAGGGCCCGTTCATGGTGCCCTCGAAGGCGCCGCCCTTCACGGCCTGCGAGGGCATCAGGGACTCCTCCTGGCGCACCATCACCATCAGCCGGGCGATGTCATTGGCCAGCATGTCGTCCACCGTGTCCAGCAGTTTGGGCTTCAAGGCCTGGAACTTGCTGAAGTCCTGGGTCTGCAAGAGTTCCTGGAGGGGTCAGGGGGCAAGGGGCGGGGTGAAGCAAGGGGTGCAGGCACCGGGACCTGGCCGCTCCCCGCGGGGCCTCCCCGCCTCCCCCCGCCGTGAGGGTGAGTCACACATTCCCCTCCTGGAAGTCACTGCTCGGTCACCCCCTGCGACCTGGGTGGGGTGCTGGGGTGAATCCAGCTGCCTGCATTCTGGGAGGCCCCACCCCGCAGGGCGAGGTCTCCCTCCCCAGCACTGCCGGGCTGCGTCCCCGCTGGTGCCCCCAGCCTGCCGGGGCTGCGTACCTGCATCTTGCGCAAGTTGGGGAAGTCGCCGGGGGAGATCTGGTGCTCCCGCTCGATCTTCTGGTAGATCTCGCCCAGGTTGTTCACCAGCTCCTTCTTTTTGCTCTCTTTCCCGAAGACATTGGGCATCTCCTTCTTGAGGGAGCTGATGATGTAGGCGTGGACCTGGGAGAGGGTGGGGCCACGTCAGCCGCCTGGGCG